TTTTTTTTTTTTTTTTCCATTTTTTGTAGAGACAGGGTCTCTCTGTGTTTACCAGGCTGGTCCCAAACTCTTGGCCTCTAGGCAATCCTTGCACCTTGACCTTCAAAAGTGATTGGATCCTACTTTTTTGAAAAATAAAATCAACCATAGCTTGTTTCTGGGATTTGGGAATGATGTGTGTGAATTAAGAGATTTTCAGACCAGAAATAGAGAAAAGCAAATTAAGACATAAACTCCGCAGGAACAGTGGGGAAGATCCACCTCTCAGTTGCCTGGTGAGATAAAGAACTCCATGGCCCAGTACTGCAAATCAGCAGGGAGGAGTCACTCCATAGGCTTCATGAGCTGCCCCGCTTTCTAGAACATTCTGACAGACGATTCACTCTTTCCACACGGTTCTTTCCAGCCAATCACCCACCCCAACCCACCCCTGGAGATGTGGTCAGGACGAGGCCGATGAGGCAGATCCTAGAGAAGGCCGCACTGGCAGAATCTTCTGCTGGCGGAGATCGGGCTGAGCAGCCTCCAGGGAGCAAGCCTGGGTTTGCCACATCACACTTTCCGTACTGAAGGTCGGATGGCACAGTCACCAGTTTTCCGAGAAGCACAGGGAGGGGTGCATGTCGGGCCCACCCCTGCCTGCTGATGCCACCTCACCGGACGCAGGCGAAATGTCTCCCCGTTGCCAGGGGAGCCTGTTTTTATTTTGTTATGTTTTGCTTGGGGTGTGGGTGTCAACCAGGGAGAGGTTCCTGGCAGCAGTTCCTGTCAGATGCCATATTCTGTTCTGGTTAATAGGTACGGGGTCCTTTTTCTACCCTCTGCCGCAGGGGCCAGGGATTCATCACCCTGTACCCTCTAGCAAGGGCCGTGCCCGCTACGCGGTCCAAAGTCCTCTCCAGACACTCAGACCCTGCCCGCCTTGGTGGAGGGCTCAGGAGTTCACCAGGTTTGCTTCCAGAAGAGGCAGGCTGGGGGCCTGCTTACAAATGCGGCAACAATAAATAAATAAATAAAAATCCTCTTTCTCCCCGCCCCCACCCAAATGTAAAATGAGCCCACAGCCTGTCTGTCGTTGATGACAGATACTGCTTTCCGCACAAAGTCTTGATTTTACATTATTTTGCAACGGCCTTTTCCCACTTAATCCATCCTGAACGCTCTTCTTGAACGTTCTCAGGAACCACGTCCCCTCGCCAGGCCCCTGGGAACAGTCACAACAAGGACACCTGCCCCCGAAGCGCCCAGGCGGCTCCCCGGGGCTCATGTTGTCACCCACTGGCTCCCAGACGCTATCAGTCCGAGGCAGGGTTTCCTGACCAGAAAAACCGCCTGTTCGCGTTTGGAGCGTTCCGCGACCCCTCCCCGGGCCGCGATAACCTTCTGGGCCGCCCCGCCCCCACTCCGCACCGGAGCGCTGACGTCACCAGCCAAGCCAGACGCTTAGCCGCCGCCCGAGAGTCACGCGCACCTCCCGGGGGGGACGCGCCCTCTGCAGAGATCCCTCCGCCGCCGCCTGGAATTTTCCAGATGTCCTGCCGGTCCTTCTTTCGAGCCTCGGCGGGGCGGGGTAACCTGAGGCGACCCTGGCAGCTCTAGTCGCCCACTCAGGAGCCCCCACTCAGGATCCCCCACCCCCACCGCCACCTCGCTCCAGTCCCTCTCTCGGGAAAGCGCGCCCCCTGCCCGACCCGACAACACCTGCGAAGAAAAGGCGTGTTCTTTCTCATGGCGTCCACCTCCCACTTGTCACCTTGAGCGCTGTCCTCAATCCCAAGAAGCACTGCTAAGGAGAAGCGGGGATAAACTGGTGTCCCTGCGTGGGGGGAAGCTCATGGGAGACCGTGCACTGCCCGGGTCGTCTCCCCAGGCAGGGTCGGGGAGGGACTTTTTTTCCGGCGTCCGTGGAGGAATCGTACCGTTGAGCAGTGACCCCGGTTATGCGGCGGAGGGCTATAAAAGCAAAAGTTGTGGCCGGTCCAGCAGGAGTTAGCGACAGGGAGTGATGCGCGCATGGGTGCAGTTGCGGGGGAGGAAGTGGGCAGTTCAGGGCCTCAGGAGAGTTGGGGAGAGATGACTGAGTTAGATGAGACTCGGGGTTTGGGGGTGCAAGGAGAAGGAAGGTTGGCAAAGAGACGGAGACTAGGTCTGGGGGGACCACAGTGCGGCAGGCTGCATCGAAAATACGCGCAGGAGCCCACAGGGAGGGCCAGGCTCCAGGCCAGGCTTCCCCTACTGCCTGCTGGAGGGGGAACTTGACGTCTGAGAAGGCGCCGCTCTTGCATGGCTGAGCAAGCCTCAGTGCCCTCGTCTGTGGAGGGAGGAAGGCAGGGCGAGAGGCCAGGAGGAATGGGCCGCTGCGGCCCTGGAAATGATCAGGAAGGCGGGCAGTGGTTGCAGGGCTGCAGGAGGGTCGGGAGGGCCGAGCTTCAACTTGTCCATGCCAGCAGCCCTTTTTTTTTCAGACCAAGGGCTGTGAACCCGCCTGGGGATGAGGCCTGGTCTTGTGGAACTGAACTTAGCTCGCCGGGGCTGACCACTCTGGCCCAGGGTGGTATGTAATTTTGGCTCAGCCTGGGACGGGCCCAGGCTGGGCCCAGACTGGTGGAGCGTCCAGGTCTGGATGCGAAGCCAGGCCCCTGGGCGGAGGTGAGGGGTGGTCTGAGGACTGATGCGGGGCCAAGGCGCCATCCTCACCGGCACCTGGCATGTTTGACAGGCGGGGACTGCGAGGCACGCTGCTCGGGTGTTGGGGGCAACATTGACCAACGCTTTATTTTCCAGGTGGCAGTGCTCCTTTTGGACTTCTCTGTAGGTTTGGCGCTAAACTCTTCTGTGAGCTCACTCCACCCCTCCTTCTCCTCCCTTTAACTTATCCATTCACTTAAAACATTGCCTGGTCGTCTGGTAAGCCTGGGATAGTAGCCGAGTGGCTGTTGGAGTCGGTATTGTTGGTGGAGAAAGAAAGGCCTTCCCGCTGAGGTGGGGTGGGGCGGATCGATGTTGCTTGCCTGCAGAGAGGGTGGGGAGTGAATGTGCCCCTTTGGGTGGGCCCGCAGCGATCCATCTGAAAGTTACAAAAATGCCTCATGGACCGCGGTTTGTTACTGTAGTGTTCCTCATGGCGAGCAGATGGAACCGGGAGACATGGAGCCCCTGGCCATTGTGAGTCCTAGCAGTGCAGGAGGGGAGACCCTGGAGGAAAGAGCCCGCCTCAGTTGATGCCTGCAGATTGAATTTCCAGAGGCTTAGGAGGAGGAAGTTCTCCAATGTCATGTTTCCAGGCCTTTCTCAGGAAGCCCTGTATTCGGGAGGCTACCATTTAAGGTTTTCAGATAAGCTTGTGGGGGACAATCTTAGAAGTCCACAGCAGATGCATCCGGCTTGAGGTGCCATCAGCTTTGAATAAATGCTTGTTCCGGAGCCATGAATGCCAGCAGGCACCCCTCCTTCCCTGGGGTAAAGGTTTTCAGATGCTGCATCTTCTAAATTGAGCCTCCAGTCATACTTGTTCTGTGCTTGGAACCTTGCTTCAAGAAGATTCCTAAGCTGTAGAACATTTTAACGTTGATGCCACTACGCAGATTGATGCCTTATAGATGGAGTTTGCAGAAGGAGCCCCATGACCTCTCGCCTACCCACCTGTTTGCCTGCCTGCCTGTGCATTGCTCGGAGAAGTTCTGAGCCTGATGAAATAACTTGGGGTGTTGGAAAGCTGTTTAATTTTAAATGCCTTAGATGGGGGATGTATTAGAGGAAGCAGATTGTCAAATGAAGGGTGTCATCGTGTGGTGCTAAACTCTGGGAGGGTACACGTTGGTCATTCTGAAATCTGTGTGGGAAATGGCAGGTCTAGTTTGGGCATTGTGATTTCATTGCAGGTTACTAAGAGAAGGGAATGGTGGGTATGCCGGTAGTGCCCTTTCGATCTTGTTTCGTTTTTTTTAAACTTGAATTTTGTTAGATTTCATAATACTTTTTTGGCATTCTAATAAGAGGACCCTGAGGTGGGAGTTGTGGGGGATGGGCAGAGGAGAACAGCTTGGCACTGGTCACGTGGGAGTTGCAGTGTGGGGGAATGCAGCTTGGCATTGGTACTGGGAGGGATGAGGTGAAGAAGGGGAGAGGGTTGGTTAGGTATCTAGTGTGGGTGTTGGGAGTGGTAGGAAATGCAGGTTTAAGGGAACTCTGGGGCTCTGGTGAATTTAGTGCAATGGGTGAGCCAAGAAAACACTAATAATAGTAAGTTGTTAATGTTGGTTAAATTGTTGCTTGGAAATGAAAAGTTGCTTAGAAACTTTCCAAAGTGCTTAGAACTTTAAGTGCAAAAAAACCAAAACAAAATTGTTTTGCTTTGCTGCAAGGTGGGCAAGACTGAAAAAGTGTAACTGAAAAAGATGATGACACAGAGTCACCAGTTTTCCGAGAACCACAGGGAGGGGTGTGTGATGCCATCTCACAGGCAGCGTAAACGTCTTTACCAACTTCTTCCTGGTGGCCAAGGCAGCCTGTTTTAGAGGGTGGTTTTGTTTGGGGTGTGGGTATTTTCAAGTGAATCAGTCACTTGTCAGACTTGCATACGCAGCATCCCTCGCTGCCTTTTGCCAGCTTCATAGGTGATCTATCTGAAGCTGTGAAGATGGGATTTTTCACAGGAGCTGGAAGTCTTAGAAATTGTAAATGCCTACATTGTGGGCTTTTAACGTATTTAAGGGACGACTTAAGACGAGTTGAGATAGGCTCCTCTGAATTTGTAACTCATTTGTCACAGATAGCTTGTGATTGAAAATTATGAGCACAGTGAAAGTACAGTGAATTTCAAGGGATTTGTTATGTAAATTCTGCCGTAGAAACACATAATTGTCTTTTCTGTGTTTGGTAAATATTAATCATGGCAAAATTTTTGTTTACCTAGTATCTTCGAATCTAGTCTTTGTAACGAACCAAATACCCTTTTGTGATCACTGTAAAATTACTATAATATTTGGTAGCAGACAGAATCCATGTACCTTTGCTAAGGTTAAAATGAATAATTTATTGTATTTTTAGTTTGAATGTTTGTGCTTTTCCGTGATCCAAGACTAGAGGGGAAACTAAACTGTCACCTAACGGTTTGGAAAACGAGCTAAAAGGGGAAGGGGATGAGGATTGTGGGGAGGGCGTGGGTGAAGTGCCTTTACTACATGTGTGATCTGAAAACTACTTGTTTCTGAGCTGCATCCAAATTGATAAAGTAATACCAATGGCTTGTTACCATGTCCCTCTTCCCTTTAAATTTCACTTAAATTTTTTAAAATCATGGATATTTGTATCCTTGGGATCTGTCTTCTGGGTTCCGTTTTTTTGGTGTTTAAAAATATGTTGACACGGTAGTTCAGTTCTTAACCAGTGGCTTGGACATGATACAATTACTGTCGTTGGAATTTAGAGTGTTATTAGTCATGCACGTATGGGGAAATATTTTCGGGCATGCTGTTGCGAAATTGAAACCGTAGAAGTGGGTGGTTAAAAGTACGGGTATGTTGCTCTGTATGGTAAGAACTAATCCTGTTGCATCATGTACGTAATTCCTAATCACTTTCCTTCCCCTTTACAGCACAAATAAAGGTTCAAGTTCTAAACTCATTATAATTGTTGTATTGCTATGTTATATTTCTCGACCCCTATCACATTGCCTTCATAATGAAGTTGGATTTATTTTCATGTTGTAGATTTAGGTCTAGATTTGCTAGCTTCAAGTAAGTAAGGCCGTATAGGAGAGCATGATAACCAAAATAGAACTGGTATTATCCCAAGTGGTCTGCAGACTGCTGGGTGGGTGGGGAGGGATCTGCTCTATGTTGGGACTTGGTAATCATTTGTTTGAAATGTGATGAACCACTCAAACCAATGAAGGCGAGTGTGTAGGTGGGGAGTGCTTTGCCATAATATTTTAAAACATTACTTGGTTAGAATTCTAAGTGGTACTTATTTTTATTTGGTTAGGGAAAAGTCTGAATAAAATAGAATGGCTATATAATACGTGTATTACATAGTTTGAGTCTTTGGAAGGCTGGAATGTATCTGGGATTTGGGTCTAAGTATATGCATAATTCTTATCTCACTAAAGAATGCGACTTGTTTTTTCCTTTTGGTGAGTGACTGAGAGGAATCTGCTCTCTGTTGGGACTTGGTAATCGTTTGTTTGAAATGTGCTGAGAAGGAAGGTGCTTGATTCAAAGGGAGCCTCAAGGGAGGCTTGTCCTACTCAACCTGGGCCTGTTGGCCTAAGAAGAGGAGGTAAGGGCTGAACTGGGACTAGCCAGGGGACCAGCACAAATGGTGGGAGATCATGATCTGAAGGATTCTTTTCTTACCATGAGCTGCGGGACTGGTTGCCGTCTTTACAGCTGTGTCTTATTTGCCTGTGCTGTTGTATCTTGGTAACCCCTCCACATGTACACTACTGACAAACGGGCTGGGTAGTGGGAAGAGGAAGTCACTGAGCTGCCCACCCAGCAAACCTATCTGTGCTCTTGGCACCGCCAAGATAGGGCTCTGCTGTGTACAGGCTCCAGGGCCCTCTTCCTGCTTGCCACTTCTTTCCCTGGATGCTCCAGAAATAATCCAGGCCCCCTTTCCTGTCTTACCCCTTTGCTTTGCTTTTTACCCCAGCACCTCTATAACCACCTTTTCTTCTTTTCAGAGCCCTTGTTTCTTCTCGTTTTTTATGATTATTACAAAACTCTTGCTTCCACCCTGGAAAGTAACTGCTATAGATGCCTCTGTGTAAATGGTGCTATCTCCAGCAACTGTGGCATGCTGAAGAAGAATTGACTCATGGGGTATAAATGTTGGGGATTGGAAGTGGGTATGAAGTGGCACTTGATACAGGAGCAAAGAGGTGAGGCCAACTGCTGAAGGCTCAGCTCGCCACCCTCCTTGCCTCCACCCCAATCCAAGGGCTGGGCCACAGTCTTTGCCTTCAGTTATCCTCAAATCAGTTGAGATGGACAGGAGGTGTTGATGGCAGTGCCAGCAACTATCACTCATCAGTTTGCATCCTCATGCATGGATCTGAATTCAGACTTTCTGTGAATTTCCAGAGGTGTGGGTAATATCATGGAATTCAGTGAGTGGGCATGGCTGAGCTTTGCAAAATAAAAGTTATGGGGTATAAGAAAAGCAAAAGTTGAACTTGAACTTCTTTTAAAAAGGAAAGTACCCTGAGAGCCAGTATTGGTTGAGGTTCCTCAGTATGCCAGGGTTGGTGACACAGAACTGCAGGAACAGCCTGTGTTACAAAAAGGAGATTGATTCAGCTGCCCTTGGTGCATCTTATTGCCTGTGAGTGTTAAGGGATTCCAAGGACCCTTAATGCCAGGCTAACCTCTCTGTGCAGTGAAGTCTCTGGAGGAAGTGTTATCCTCTGGCTTTGTGTGCAAAGGTACTCATGGTGCAGTGCTGGTATGAAATGAAGACATGCCCAAATAGGCTTACAGATATTTATGATATGTTTTCAATGTTCCTGTCTAACAAACAAAAATATACTGATACTACTTGGAAATGGTAACAGGAAGATGGCAAAAGAAGAACTAAACTTACGAAAAGATGAGCAGGTACGTGTTCCAAGGCAGGTGGCCGTGATCTTCCTCTGAGTGAGGGCATCCCCTCCAGCCCCTGCCAGCCTGCTGGTTAGGACAGCCTGCCACCACCCTCCTGGACCCACAGCCATGCACTGCCTTTCCTATCTTTTAAATAATTCTTCATTGAGTTCTAATATGTAAAAGAAAAGTTTAAAGTTTACAAATAAGGAATTTTTTTTTCAAAATCCTCAATAATCTTACCATTAACAATTGTTATGGGCATGTTTGCTTTTGGAGGATTTCTTTTATATGCATGGGATAAGTGCTTTTTTATACAAAAATGAGATGATGCCATAAATTCTGTTTTGTGACTAATTAATATATAGTGAACACCTTTTTAAATGATAACAATGTTCCCTCGATTGGCTATATCAGTGTAAACACTCTTATTTCAATGGACATGTAGGGTATTTTCTAGGTTTTTTTTCTCTTAGAAAATAATACTTGCAATGACTTTCCTTATAGCTCAGACTTTATCACGTCTCTTTGGGAATGCATGAATACATTTCGAGAAGGAAATGACTCTGTGAAACTCGGGCTAAACTGCCCACCAGGGAGGGATTGCTCAATTAGTGTTCTGACTAGTGAGGCAAACCTGACGCCTTCCCCTCTTCCTCAGAACCTGTTTTGTCACATTAAAAACCTTTGCTCCTCCAATGGATCCAGTCTGCTTCCCCTGTGGGTGTGAGCATTGCTTTGTCTGCTGGGGATTGAACATCTCTACTGTATGTTGATTGGCCATTTGTAGGGGCCGTGTGTGCATGACTTTGTACTTCCTAATTAGGCATTTTTCTTTTTTTTGTTTTTTGTTTTGTTTTGTTTTTTAAGATGGAGTTTCACCATGTTGATAAGGCTGGTCTTGAACTCCTGACCTCAGGTGATCCTCCCGCCTTGGCCTCCAAAGGGCTTGGATTACAGGCGTGAGCCACCACGCCCGGCTGCGTAATTAGGTATTTTTCTAATGGTTGTTTTGTAATTAAGGATATTAATAACCTTTTGTCATAGTTGATGCAATATTTCTTTTCCAGTTTATAGATTGCCTTTTAATTTTGTTTCAGATAGATAGAAGTTACATGATTTTCCAAAGTTAATTACTGTGGTTTCTGAACTTGTTATATGTAGATCTTTTCTACCCCAAGAGTACATAAATATTAATACATACTTTCTTGTGAAACTTGGCATGGTTTCATTTTTTTACATTTAAACCTTATTCCACCTGGAGTGTGTTGTGGAGTCTGTGTGTGTGTGAGGAGGGGCATGGTGCTCTCAGAGCCCACCTCCTAAGGCCAGAGAACCCTGTCCTGGGAGGGTTGCTGTCACAGTGAGAGGGTTCACTGCAGAAGACCTTGGGGCCAGGCTGGTGTTTCCCGAATGGGCCCCTGGTTGTTGCTGGTCCCTGACTCTCGGTTTCCCCATCTGAGTAGGTTTGTACCTACTAGGTCACTGGAGCTGGTTCTAATTCTCTTGGCAACTTTATGACTGGGAGCAAGTTACTTAACCTGCCGGAGACTGTCTGTGAAGTGTGGGTAAATGAATATAGATGTTTGGCAGCAGCTACTCCTTGTTGAGCTCTTACAGTGAACTCTCCTGCCTCTGCCCTCCTTCTCCACCTCCTCTGGGGCCCAGGTCTAACCACTTTCTCCTGGGACCCTCTCCCTGTTCTGTGGCTGGCTGGCTGCCCGCCTGGCACTGGACCTTTCATGCAATGGGAATCAGAGTGTATATCCTGGTCTGGTCTGTTTCTACACTTAATTTTGTTTCCACTAAATTTCCCTGTACCGGCATAGTTCACAAACACATTTGAAGAGGCTTTTTCTCAGGATTCTTAACCTTCCCAAAGGAATTCCCATGGATGGGTTCCTAGAAGTCTATGAATGCTCTGAAATTGTGTGTATTTTTCTGTGGAAAGCATAACTTTCATCTGCTTGTCCATGACCTCAAAAAAGATCATGAATGGAATGATTGCATGATTTTATGCTAATGTGCTTATACTACAGGATATTTATCCCATCTCTTTAGTTGTTAAACTGTTTTGACTATTTAAATTGTGCAGCTGTGAGCATCTCTGTAACTTTAGTGTACATGTGTATCTCCTGGAGTGGCACTGCCTGGGCAGTGAGGACTTAGGTTTTATAACTGTCTTCACAGACTCATGACTCCAGAAAGCTACACTTCCTGTTGTGAGTATATTACATCCATTTCCCTACAAAGCTACTAACATCAGATTTTACAATTTTATTTATTTGTTGCTACTTGTAAAATTTTTTGTGGTGAAATACATATAATGGAAGTTTACTATCTTAATCATTTTTAAGTATGCATGCAGTAGTGGTAAGTATGTTTCCACTGTTGTACAGCCAATCCAGAACATTTTCATCTTGCGAAACTGAAACTCTGTACCCATTAAATAATATTAAACACTGCATTTCCTCCAACAAAACCGAAACTGTACCTATTAAATAATATTAAACAATCCATTCCCTCCAGCCCCCGCAACCACCATTCTTTCTACTTTCTGTGAGTTTGACTACTCTATGCACTTCATATCGGAGAAATCATGAAGTATTTGTCTGTTTGTGACTGGCTTATTACATTTAGCACAGTGTCCTCCAGATGCGTCTATGTTGTAGCACGTGTCAGAACTTCCTTCCTTTTTAAAAGAGCTGAATAATATTCTATTTTATATCTTATTTTGTTTATCCATTCACCCATTAGTAGACGGGTTGCTTTCAGCTTTTGTGAACAATAGTGTTACGTACAAATATCTTTATTATTGTATTTACAAGTTTGATGCTGTAATGTACACACATCTTTTTGAGATCCTATCTTCAGTTCTTTTGGGTATGTAGCCAGAAGTGGTATTTCTATTTTTAATTTTTTTGAGGAACCACTCTATGTTTTCCATAGCAACTGCCCTATTTTACACTCTCACCAGTAGTGCACAGGGGTTCCAAGTTTCCCACATCCTCTGCAGTGGTTGTTATTTTCAGCTTTTTTATATCGAAGCCACCCTGTGGGTGTGAGGTGATATTTCATTGTCGTTTTGATTTGCATTTTCCTAATGATTAGTGATACTAATGATTAGTGATACTAAGCGTCTTTTCATATACTTATTGGTCATTTGTATGTCTTCTTTAGAAAAATGTCTATTCCAGTCCTTTGACTATTTTAGAAATTGGGTTATTAAGGTTATTGTTGTTGACTTGTAGGAGTTTCTATATTCCGGATATTAACCCCCTATCAGATATATGATTTGCAGATATGTTCTCTTATTCCATAAGGTTGCTTTTTCACTTTGTTGATTGTGTTCTTTGATGTACAGAAGTTTTAAAATTTGAAATAGTCTAATTTCTGTCTTTTAAATTCTGTTGTCTGTACTTTTGGTGTCATATCCAAGAAATCCTTGCCAAATCCAACGTTATAAGGTATTTTAGTTGTTTTAGTCTGTATATTTCTGTACTCATCTCTTTATCCACTCATCCGTTAATGGGCACATAGGTTGGTTCCATATCTTTGCAATTCTAAATTATCCATGATCAGGTGTCTTTTTGGTATGACTTATTCCCCTTTGAGTAGATACCCAGTAGTGGCATTGCTGGATTGAATGGTTTTTATACTTTTCTGTTTTACCACAGTTTTCATCTGCATTTTTCCTCTTTGACCACTGAGCATGTGAAATTCTCATACTGACCTTTATATGATCATGAACTCTTAGTATCATTGGGAAAGCCACATTCGCCGCTTATGATTGTCAACCCTATCCTCCATTTTTCCTGTTATTATTGATGCAAAAAGCATCTATTTTACCAGGACTTCAAAAATCAGTCTGATAAGCCTTTGATAAGCCTAATAATAATAACTGATAAGTCCGTTGAATTTGCTGCGTATTACTTTTTCTTTAGTAGCTAAACATGTATGTACTCCTCTGGTTACAATGAACACTCCTCTACATTTAAATTAATGATTTACACTGAAGTTGAAATAGCAAAGTTTTAATTACTAAATACTGTCTTTGTTTTTTTGCTCCAGGTCTGTCACTATTAACTTCTTATAATTAATTTTCTTTTTTTCTGTGTGTGTGTGTGTGTGTGTGTGTGTGTGTGTGTGTGTATGAATTTCAATAGCTTTTGAGGTACAAGTGGCTTTTGGTCATATAGACGAATTCTATAGTAGTGAAGTCTGAGATTTTACTGCACCGGTCACCTGAGTAGTGTACATTGTACCCAATATGTGGGTGTTTATCCCTCGCCCCCCCTTATCTGCCTTACTTTGAGTCTCTAGTGCCCATTATGTCACTCTGTATACCTTTTTGTACCCATAAGTTAGCTCTCATTTATAAGAGAGAACATGCAGTATTTGGTTTCCCATTCCTGAGTTACTTCACTTACAATAATAGCCCCCAGCTCCATCCAAACTATTGCAAAAAAAAAAAAACCATTATTTTGTTCTTTTTTATAGCTAAGTCATATTCCATGGTGTAGATATACCACATTTTATTTATCTACTCACTGGTTGATGGGTTGGTTCCTTATCTTTGCAGTTGTGAATTGTGCTGCCATCAAGTGTCTTTTTGGTATAATGACTTCTTTTCCGTTGGGTTGATACTCAGAAATGGGGTTGCTAGATCAAATGGTTCTTATAATTTTCTGTCTGGATCTATTTCTGGAAATTGTAGGCTCTAGTTTTCATTGTTATTGTTAATAAAATGCAGTGGAATTTAATGATCGTCACTTTTCATTATGTTTTAAAATCTAGTAAATGAAAGCTAAAATACTCCTCTAAGGCAAGAATATTCTCTCTCTTTATTAGAACTCAAATACACAGAACTGGGTAAATCTTTTGGTTCAGAATATAACATGGCTCTCTTTAATTTTCTTTCCTTGATTGTTTTTTAATAATGTGGTAAGCATTTCCAAATCTCCTATCTAATATAAAAACTAGGACAATACAGACAGTAACCCCTTCCGCTTATGTGGTCCCACCCCACCCGACTTCCCCTGCCATCCCTGCCACCCCCCAGGCCATGGTAATAATCATCCTGAATCCTGGGTTTATCTCCCACCTACTTTCTTTTCATATAACTTTGTAAAAGAATCTGATCTAAATATGTTTTTCAAATTATATATTTATATTTTAGTTGTTCTTAGCTTATAGAAAAGTTATTTTGGATGTAATCTTATGTTATTTAAGATTATGTTAATCTTATTAAATGAGATGTAAACATTCTCATTTAATATGGTAAGATTTATCCCTTGCCCATGGGGTATTTCATTTAGTTTATTTACTGGATAGAGCCCATCATGTAACTGTACCTCAGTTAGTTCATCAATTTTCCCATCCATGGTGACAGGGTTGCTTCTCTTACTTCCGTCAGTGTCGTTGAAGAAGTGATATGTGGGTGTTTTCTCATTACACAGAGTTGAAAGGTGACTGACAAGGTTGGCACTACCAATCCCCCATACTCCAGAGGTAACCAGTGTTACCAGTTTGCTGGGTTTCCTGCTAGACTTACATTTGTATCTTAAAAAGATGTTGCATTGTGTTTCTTTTCCATAGAAGTGGGAAAATACTATTGTATACTGTACTATTGATTACTTTTTTCATTTAACAGTAGGGAGATGCCTGGGAGTGCACACAGAACTTTCCTCACTGTTTTCAACTGCTGTGCAGTATGTCTGTGAGTTATTTAGCCATTCTGCCATTAATGGAAATTTACAGTATTTCTCATCTTTTGATATTACAAACAATACTGTGTGATCATCGTCATACACAGCCCCTTGTGCACAATGCATGAGTGTTTCTCAGGGTAGGTACCAAGAAGCGAAATTGCTGGGTCATAGGATGTGGGTCTGACGTTTTCCTCTGTTCTGCCCTGTTGCCCTCCAGAGTATTTGTCCAGCTTTGCACAGCTGAGTATGAGAGTATCTGTTGTTCATATCCTCTACGACGCTCTATATGACACTAAAATTTCTGCTGGTTGCTTTCTTTGATCTGTCATGTATGCAGTGACCCACTAAAACTTCAGATGGTATGATAGATTCTAGTCATCTCTGTGTGAATTTAGCATTCATGGGATTAATGCTAATAAGGCCCCCAGGGTCCAAGACATGTAATCAAGTATAATTTTGTCAAGGTATAATTTTTTTAATTGCTCTTATCACGTGACTGCTGGGGACGCCCAATCCAGTGCTCTGCACCCGGTCACACTGCGGCTTTGTCGTCTGCGTATCCCTGCATTGAAGCACTGTCCTGAGGGGACCAAAATCATGCAGATTTAGGTAAGTCCATGGCTAATGTTCCTATATTATGTGTTCTTATAATGACTGGGGCTGTGGAGTGTATGAATTTATAAATCACTAGTCTTGTAATTAAAACTCAAACACTATAGAAAAAGGCCATATAGAAGATAAAAGTTCCTCTATAATTCCCAATCCCTGAGACAACTACTGATGACAACTTCCTTTATATTCCTTCAGACATTTTCTGGCTGTGGATATCCTAAAATTTATCCTATTATGCTCTGCCCTAAAATGGAATCATATAATATGTACTATCGTTTTTATGGCTTTATAACATGTAATATTGTGCATGTTGGTGTGGTCGTTTTAACCATTTTTCTAGTGATGGGTTTGAGGTTACTTGCAGAGTTTTCTAGCCATCACAGAGTGCTGCAGGGTGCAGAGCTGAGGCACCCAGAGGCAGTGCCCAGAGGAGGCAGCATCTGTAGGTGTCTTCACCTGCTGTGGCTCTTGGCACACCTGGTCAGTGACACTGTTTTGTGAGATGGATTGAAAGCATCTGCTGCTAAAATCGGTAATGCTGGTGCTCTCCTCAGGTGCCGTGGAATTCACATAAAACTGCTTAGTGTCCATACCAGAATCAAGTATAATATGGTGCCCGGCTAAGCACAAAACAGTAATGGATCCTGCAGATCCCAGAGTCTAATTCCTGGTATTCTTTCCCCTAAGCAGGTTCAATAAACAACAACAACAACAAAAAAAACAACCAAACTATTCTAGGAATGCAGCTGTGACATTTGTAAAAAAGCAGTGTTTAATGATCTCTTATTCACTTGTCTGTTTAGTTTGTCGAAATGTTACCTGGTCGAGGAAGGAATGCTGTCTGTACCTGCCCTCTGCTGGGCACAGCGTGGCTGCTTCAGGGGCTAAGTTCATGCTCTCTGTCCTCTAAGGGGCCGTCACATGCCAGGAGCTCAGATGTGAGCCCTGCCCTGGCTCTTACTCACCTCATAGGGTCACTGGTAGGGGCACAGGGAGTTGAACATTGTGCACAGCAAGCCACCACTGGCTCAGCATCTGCCCCGCTGGACTTACTACTTCTAGAAGGCAATACCTGAGTTCCTCTGGCCTCAGCTACTAGAGTGACTGGTACACTGTCCGTCTTACTCTTCCTTCCATCAGTGTGACAACTGTGTGACCCACCATCTGTGTGTCAAAGCAAGGCCCTGCCTCATCCTCTGCTCCTGTGCTGACCCCAAAGGCAAATGCTCTGCTGGTTTCCTTCCATTTCACTTCACCTATTAATAGATGTGTGAAACTGTTCAAAGCAATACATGCCTGCACATGTTCAAACTTCAAACCCTGTGAGCGATTCAGTGGCATCTTTCTCTAACCCCCAGCCTCCCTTCCCACAGAGGCAGCTGTTGTGGCCAGTTGCTGCAGTTTCTTTCTGGAGAATCTGTATTTATGAAGCTGTACAGGTATACCACATAGCCTGTCTTGCACTTCGGACTGTTGAGTTACTGGTACATCAAGGTGAGCACTGTATATCTGTATTCACGTCTGCCTCAGTCTTTTCAACATCTGTGTGGTAGCTGTGTTTGAATTACCCATTCCCTTTTTGGGGAACCATTAAGTTGTTTCAGCAATTTTTACTGTAGATAAGGCTATACCGCATATCTGTGTACCTGTGTTTTTATGTACATGGGCAAGTATATCTGCGAGGGAAAAGTTTTCTCAGGAGGAAGTCTGGGCACAGCACGTGGAAATTTCTGAATATGATGGACACCCCCAGCTTCCACCGTAGGGAGCTTGGTCCCATTGACATTTCCCCACACCTTCACCTGGGCTATGCTCTCAAACTTGGTTATTTGTCAATGTGAGAAGTGGAAAATAGTATTTAATTGTAGTTTTGATTTGTATTTCTTTTGGGTTATATATTTACTGATACATATTAAGGAAATTAACCCTTTGTAAATACATTCCTGTTTTTCACTGATTTTTAAGTTTTATTATAATATTTTGCTCTTCAGTTTATATATATATATATACACACACACACACTAATTTTGTTTTATGGTTCCTGGATTTTATGAGTAGTTCAAAGAGGCTAATCCAGCTGAAGCTTTTTTTCTTTTGGTTAAACCCCATGTTTTCTCCTCTCTTTTTATTTTTACTTTGGAGGGCTCCATCTGGACTTAATTTTAGTGTAACGAATGACAGGGTTAGTTAGCCTGTTGCCCTTACACCGTTTTTCTGGCTAACACAGCTGTTAACTATTGATCTGTTTATTCACGTGCCAGTTCCTAATGGTTTTACATAGTGTCATCTGTACTTTAAAAAAGCGAAACGAAAGCCCTACCTCATTATTCTACTTTTCCAGAATTCTCCAGGCTGCATGTTTACCTTAACCTCCCCCGTGACATCTTCATGCCATTGTCTTCTTAGGAGAGAATAAGGTGCGTCTTTCCATCTACTCGCATCTGTTTAATTTGACTTTGCATTACACAGAAAGCTGGTCTTGGTCTGTCTACCTTGGCATCTAGGTGTCCTCACTGCCCCCAGCGGACCCTACCCCCGTCACGGAGTACTTTTATTTATATTTTGCTCTGCCTAATGGTCACTAGTTACTGTCATACTGATAGTGTCCAGTTTAGTGGTCTTTGCAGTTGAGATGATCCTATAAACAAAGTCTTGTTAAAAATGCCAGTAAGTTTCTACAAACCCAGCCTGCACCCAAGGTCACGTTCAGGGGGTGGGCTGGGAGGGGTTGCTTTCCGAGCCTCTGCCACTTTGTAGCTGGCTCTTCTCACTGGGAAGTTCTGTGTATCTGGAATGTCTGAGTGGAGTCCTGTTCCAGTGGCCAGCACCTGACCCCTGTGCCCAACCCCTGAACAGCCTTTTCCTGCTGTCCACAGCCTGCTGGAACCTTTCACAAAATGTACTGCATGCCTTCCTGCTTTACGAGGGATTATAGAGACCAGAACTTGCCATTTCTTCAGAGTCTCAAGGCCGCCATCATGAACACATTGTCCTGTCTGGTGCACAGGGGTTTTTTGGAGGCTGCTGAGCCAGATCTGGTTGTCCCCCCTTAACTGACCATCTTCAGCAGCACTGCCGTTCTGCTTAGGAACCTACTGCGGCTTCCCCAGGGTCAGTCCACTCCGCTTTCACTAGGCTCCTTGTTCTACAATAGAGCTGGAACCAAGGTGCCTGGAGCAAGATGGTAAAGACTTTACTTCTGCGACTTTCCTATTTCACAAATAAGGCAGAGGCCGCCTGCCTCCACTCCAGAAAGATGTGTCTGGGCTTTAAATATATATATATATTTAAATGAAACACTGTTCTGTTTTCTGATGAGAATTTTTTTGGACTTTCTATTGAAATAGGGTGGGGTGAGTTTCTGTTTCCTAAGACACTGTTGTGCACACATCTGATCATTTCCTTAACAGCAGTTTCTTAGCAGTGAAATGACCGGCCCAGAGGCTGTGAGCGGTTTGACTCCTGTTGCCAAGCACCCCCCTTGCAGGCAGGCAGAGCCCATGCTCCCAGCAGAGGGTCCCCATAGCCTGGCCTGCACCATCTTTGTTTTTATCTTTGCTGATTTGAAGGCAAGAAATGGTATCTTGGTATTTTAATTTGCACTTTTGGACTCCGTGAGGTTGAATAAATATTTGTTGTGTGTTAGTTGATCTGTGCATCTGCTTTGGGCCTCACCTGTATTTTCACCGCTTTGTGACAACTGTTGAGGACATTTACCCTTACATATTACAAAACATCGTTCATGCTTGTAGTTTGCCTTTTAAGTGTTCGATCTTGGTGATGGTTTTAAATTTGGTAATGGAATCTATCCATTTTTATTATTATGGTTTCATACTTTGGTGTTATATTTTTTCTGGTTCCTTTATGGTTTTGTTTTTGACATTAAAGTCTAATCCATCTACAAGTTACCTTTGTTTAGAGCGCAAGGTGTATGAATCCAATTTAGCTGTTTCAAATGGTGACCTGATTTTCCCAACACTATATACTGAATCATTCTACTTTCTAAATTGATTTGAATGCCACTTGATAATTATAAACTAAATAATAGTCCAGGTGCAGTGGCTCACTCCTGTAATCCCAGCACTTTGGGAGGCCAAGGTGGGTGGATTACCTAAAGTCAGGAGTTCGAGACCAGCCTGGCCAACATGGTGAAACCCCATCTCTACTAAAAATACAAAAATTAGCTGGGGTGTAGTGGTGGGCACCTGTAATCCCAGCTACTGTGGAGGCTGAGACAGGAGAATCGCTTGAACTGTGTTTAGAGGCCGAGGAAAAGGTGCAGTTCAGTGTTTAGAGGCAGAGGAAGAGGTGCAGTTCAGTTCTTAAACGTGGAATGGACATAACCCCAGTGTGTCTGTGTGTGTAATGCCAGCAGATGCCCCTGCGAGATGTGCTGGATCATGGGACAGGGTTTCCATTTGTTACTATATTGTTTGGAACTTTTAATTTATGGTGGGTATGGTGGCTCATGCCTGTAATCCCAGCACTGTGGGAGGCTGAGGCAGGAGGATCACTTGAGGCCAAGAGTTCAAGATCAGCCTGGGCAACATAGCGATTCCCTATCTCTCAAAAAAGAAGTTTTAAAATTTGAAATAATAATAGATAGTGTATTTATTCAGATGTCTTTTCTCATCTTTTGAGATGAGTATCAGGTTTTTTTCCTTTTGTCATCTGATGATGAACTTAATTTTTCCATTTGTACTAATGGAATATTAAGTCCTTCTGTGATTTCTGAATCAAGCTATTCCTAGGCCTGAGTTTTATTTTGTTGACACAGAAATAAATTAGAAGGCCAAGTGTGGTGGCATGTGCCTGTAGTCCTAGTTACTGAGGTAAGAGGATTGCTTGAGTCCAGGAGTTCAAGGCTGCAGCAAGCTTTGATTGCACCACTGCACTCCAGCCTGGTCAACAGTCTAAAACCCTGTATCAAAAAAAAAAAAACTAAGGCAATGATAGTTCCTGGCAAATGCTGGGAAGGAGGCAGCAGTGTTCAGGGAAGGTAGCCCTGAAGCAGGACTTTTAAAACAGAGAAGACTGGGAGGCCCAGGCAGGCAGATCACAAGGTCAGGACTTCAAGACCAGCCTGGCCAACATAGTGAAACCC